CCACAGCATGATCCTATCTTTGCTGTAAAGAACTGGGTCATCATATAGTCAAGGGTGTCAAAAGAAAGTGCCATGCTGGGGATAAAAGAAAATTAATGGGAAAGTTAAGCTCTCCTAACCTCTCTTTCATCTATTATTTTCCTTTTTTCCTCTGAATGTTCCCAATCTTAGCCCCCATAACATCAGGAAACAAATGTTAAAGGTGCTTAGATGTCTAAATGCAAGCATAGGTGCTGAAGAAGCATTAAAAGTGCTAATGTATCTAAAAGCCATTGATTTCACTGATTTCTCATCAGCTAAAAATTATTTGCATAGACAGTTTTGGAATCCAAACAGATACATTGATGTGCAGTTTTCAGTTCCTACAGTCAACAGTTTGGTCTTGCAGTCAATAATGGAAAAAAGCGTCCTGAAGAGATCCAGAAGCTGGAAGCATACTTAGTACAGCCAGAGCCCTGCACCCCGCTGAAAGACCTGTGCCCTGAACATCCTCTTTGCCTTTGCAATACATCCCTTGTGTGCACAGACACATCCAGCAAAAAAACCCAAAAAAAACTCTCAAAGAGCAGAGCAGATGTGCCCGGACTTTTCTGATTAATTGGCTAAACGGGAGCACCTGTAGAAAATGGCATTTCAATAGAATGTCATAGGAGGGACACATGAATGAGAATTCATACATACAACCACCACCACAGACTAATCTGATAAAATATCAAATAGAGAGAAAGGAAGACTGGTAGAGCAAGCTTACTACTGCAGTGTCCAAGTCCCATCCTGGGCCATAAAGTACAAAATTCTGGTAACTTGGACAAACATTGCAGAAGTTTTCATTCCTACACTCAAAGTCCATTTTTAAAAACAGACTAGTTTTTGCAGGAACCTAATCCAAAACATTATTTCTCCAAGCATAAAAACTGTTCTCATATCCAACTAAATGTTTTAAAGTCACTATTCAGTCCAAGGATTAGCTGAATTATGGTCATCTAGCTAACCTGTCTACCAGGGTCTGTCCCAGTTTCTAATTAATCTTTTGATCACAGTAAGGACCTTAAGATTCATTTCTATGTGATGCAGTAATAGCTACCATATTGAATCTCACTCTGCAGGAAATAGACCTTTACCAAATATAAAAACTATATTCAAAGAACAGAATGTATTTCAAAGAAATAATTCTTAAAACAGTAATGCTTCAAAAATTACAATTTAAGTTTACCCTCATGCTTTTACAATTACATGACTCAAGATTGGCAAGAGAATACTTAAATCAACCAAGCAGTCTAAGTAAGTATAGGGCTTTTGTGAGATTTTGTTATTCCTATCAGCTTTTGTAGTAATTACGGACTTGAACAGCACTGTGCTGTGCACTGTTGAAGCAAAATGGTGTCTGGTATCTGTAACAGCAAAAGGACTCAGTCAGGATGGAAACAGCCCATCTGAAAGCCAAGGAGTACCAAAGAAGGAAGATGGGGACAAGTGGGAGGAGGCAGGAGAATACAGAATGGGCTTACTTAACATGAACCTCCATGGAGGTCAGATACACGGGTTCTTTTTAGTCCTCTTCTAAATTAGAAGACAACTGCTGAGCTATCAAACACACAGTAATAAAGATCTTGAAAATCTCTGCTGACCTAATTACTTTCACTTGGATATACTGAGTGTTTCTCATTAGCAAACAATTTGATGATGTTAAATTTACATCACAAGCAACTACTAGCATCAGCTCAGCTCACAAACAGAATTTGAACATAACTTTATTTTCCTTATCAGTGTCACAGAAAAAGAATTGGTGACATATATAAAAAAAAAAAGTTCTGTGAAAAAGAAGTAAGAGAATAAGAATAGTTATCAATAATAGTTGTAGGTCAGATGCTAAGTATTTCTCAGCAGTTTTCAAAATTTCATAAACTAGGCATCAGTTGTTTTGTTGGTTTTTTTTGTTTTGTTTTGTTTTGTTTTTTTAAATAACACCTTTATTTCTATAAAGAACTTCAAACATATTGCGGGGGTACAGGATATTGCCTGAGAAATTGTAGAAAAACTCAACTTCAGCTGGTCTTGGAATAAAAGTTCCCTTATATTACTAATTAGATTCAAATAGCTAAGTGGATTACAGAAGATGGAGGGACATTCTCTCCATTCCACATAAACATGAAATTCTGTAACTGATTTTCCACTGTCTTTCACGCATTCTCATAAAAATGGTAATCTTATCAATGACTATTTCATAGCTGAGGTAGTATTTGTAAAAGCCCCAAATCAAGAACCATGAAAGACAGAAGATCTCATAATGCTCAAATCAGTGTCAAGGAGGACAATTTTGCACCTGAATTTATTGCATCACTTCTGATACAGTGGAAAAGCTGGTCAGAGTTTCATATATATGAATGAAGTCTGCAATAAAAGCAAGTGTTCAGCTTCTTGACTTTGTATGATAGATAATGGTTATCCTTCCCAAAATCCACTAAAAATTTACTAATATATCTTTTGATCCATTCAAATAAATAATTCATAAATTAATTCTTTTAAAGCACACATCAGTATCTGATTTGTCACCCCAAAATATTCTATGTACTCAAACTTCAAGAAGAATTTACTATAAGAAATTAAGAAGTGGCTGAGTAAAGGTACTACTCATTTTTTCATTTACCGTCCTGCTTAGGTACATACCAAGTTAGGTCAACAACCCTGTTTGCAAGTGGGCCCATACACAACAAAGTGGTCTCTTCTGTTTCACATAATTATTCGAGCATTATTATCTCAGTGCATCAGGAATAAGAGAAGTTGAAAATGTATCAAGAGTTCTCATCAATGGATGCTTTGGCTGTGCCTTGAAAGTGTCACTGCCAACCTCTGCTTTCATTCCCACTTGTCCCCATCGTCTTCTCCAACTGCTTTTTCCTTTGCTGTTGCTCCCATTTGCTTTGGCCGCTGTAGCGATGGAGAGATCATACGATGGCCATCAGATGGTCATTTCACAAGCAAGCAATGCATTCCTTTTATATGGAGAACGAATGGTTTAAGGATTGTGTCTTGAATGACTTATTTTATTATTGATTAAGAGGTACTGCACACAGAATTTCTTCCACTTGAAGAGTTTCAGTATTATTGCACTTGAGTATGTTTCCAGGGAATATTCAATTTCACGTTTTGTTCTTCTTTGGAGCAATTATCCAAATGTTAATATCTTTTGCTGCTGTAGTTACTTTCTACTTTATTAGATTATCCTGGCCAAACACCTACACAGGCTAGCAAACAGCAGAAAAAGAATGAAGCATCTGCTTTTCTGTTTTTCCTCTTCACATTATGTCAGTTAATTCCTGAAGCTGTTTGTGCCTCACTTAAGAAATGGGTAGTGTTCACCAGAAAGCAAACAAATCAATTACTGAACATTCTGAACAGACATTAGAGGGCTGAAAAAAAAATCCAAAATTTTCCTGTTCTTGTGACTGCGCAGAGATCTTCATGGTAATTTCTGTTGAATGATAACTTTTTCATGCTAACTTCTTGCAAAATTCTAAGGCCTTGGAGCTTAGCAACTGATCAGAGCTGTGAGCCACAACACAGCTCCGTCACCGTAAAAGAAATGTACCTCATTAAAGCCACAGCATGAATGGAGGACCTAACACATGAGGCAAGCAAGGTCAGGGAATACCAGAGCACAGAGTCAAGAAGAATTCATTTTAAGGATTTTCATGGGAGGCTAAATTGGTCCTATTCATAGGAAAAAACCAGCACAAAGAGTCTTGCCTTGCCCCGCTGATACAGTCTCTTTCTAACACTAGCTGACTTCATCTGGGCCAAATATTGGCATGACCAAAGGGCTCCTTAACAATGATTTGTAACATAAGCCTTGTCACATAAACACTCAGGAGAAACTTTTCCCCCAAATAGGAAGTACTGATACAAGAAGGTGGAAAACAGACTAAATAAATACAATTTGTCATTGAAAATAGAAGTGCACTGAAAGAGATGTCACCAATAAAATGAAATATAACGTACTCAATGAATGCAACTGGCTCTAAAATCACTTTTGTTATAGTAGTACTTAGATTAAAGCACAATCTAGAAAGTCCACTGCTTTAATAAAAAAATAGAGAAGTACTTTTACAAGATCCATGAAGAAAACCTTCCAAAGACAGGAGTGGACCAACAGGTAAAGGAATTGCAAAAAGGGACCCTTGTTATCTTCTTTCCCGTCCTCCATTGTCCTTAACCTTTTTTTTACCTCATATTCTCTGCTGCTTTTAAAAACTGCCTTATCCTTCTAGTGAAATGATAGTTTAAGAGTGAATGGATGTGATTTTACCACAGTCCTTTACATCTTCAGCTCATGTGGCACGTAAGTGCACTCAAACAGGTGTTTTTCACAGATACGGTGAGAGGCAAGAGTAGACTATGTACCATCTTCATTATTTTACTTCATAACTAACAGATTATTTTGTACAGCAGAAAGTCTGTCCTTATATGCAGAATATTTAATGAAATATTTACCAAAATACACAGCTGCATAATTTTTACATGTACAGGCAAGTATGTATTCTGTAACCCATAGCTGATGTGCTGCAGGTATCCAAATATTTATGTATTCCCATTAGCATGGTGGGGTGCAAGGAGAAAGATGCTAAGCTTCAAGGAAAACGGTACTATTTTGCAAATCCTATTCTGTAGAAATTAGGTAAATAGGGTCTGTAAAATCAGATCATAATGTTCAGCAATTCTCATACTCCATTTGTGATCAAGTAGACATTTTCTTTTCTCTATGCATTAGCACAACAACCTCGAGGCAACTATATCTAAAGCTTTCAGGGGAAAACAAATTTGGAGAAAGTAACAGTGCAGAAATCAGAAAAGTCGGAACCACGAATCTTGGATCTTAGTCAATTATGCACCAAAAAAACAACCACCGTACAACATGTTTCAGTTTAAAGATGTGTCACAGAAACTGAACTGAAAAGCAGATCTTTGTAAACTAAGCACAGGAATGCTGGTTTATTACTCACCGTAGTTTCTGGTTATACTGCTTGACTTTTTCTAGTGAGGCTGCATTAATCTGAGCTTGAAATTCTTCTACTGAGACACTGTCTCTGTAATAGTATCCTTCCATGCTCTCCAGTGCTGTGAAAAGAGAAAGGGGAATGGAAAAGAGAAAGATCAGTATTAAATATTTAGTAATTGCCTTCTTTGTAGTTTTGTTCACACACAAGTGAATTACTTTTTAACCTTGAGGCTTTGACCTTACTGTGGATTGCTGAGCTGTTTCCGTATGTCATCAAATTCACCCAGATCTCCCTTAAAGATTTCATTTACAAGAAAAATTGTATTTCTTGCCCTGTGCAAAATATAAAGGAGAGTGCTAATTTGAGTTCCTTTGCTCTAATTAAAGTATTCCTGCCCTGTGAATGTAAATGTGGGGTTTAGTTTTGATATATCCTGGAATAAAATAGTAGAAAGAGCTGGGGCAGTGAAAATAAAGGATTAATGCAGCAATTACTTTCACAGAGGGAGACCTAACAACTTGTCACAAAGTCCAGTTCTGGGAGATATGGAGCACCTGAACCTCTAGTTGTTCCCACTAATTATATGAACACCACCTTCTTCTAGATCAAGTAAAGCAAACTTCTCTGGATCTCTGAAAATGCCCTAGAAGTTCCTTTTCAAGGCTCAGGTAAGTGAAGTCAAATACTTCTCCGTGTCCACCTTTGCTGTATTCACTTCACCAAAGCAAGAATGAATATTGCTACAAGAACTCAGGAACTAAAAAAACCCTTCAATTAAAAGCAAGATTTTATGTTCCTCCTACAAACATTGCACAGAAATTAAAAAGAGGGGAAAAAATGAATGCACTACCATTCCATTTTTGGGTGGTTTTCCTAGAAACAGATTTAAAAAATAAAAACCAAAAAAACCCCAAAACACTCCCCCAGCCCCTTTACTTTAGGGGCTTCATGGGCTGTAACCTTTTCTTTAGTGAAGTCAAATCAAGTGTTTGAAAGATTTTCAAGAAAATGTGGACTGTAAAAATAAAGATCTTCCCACTAAGAGGTCAACCTTATTAGGACATAAATCACAGGGTGAAATGAAAGTTTTTGGGGAAAAGCACTAAAGTCCTTACAATTAGGAATATGGTCACTTTAGTAATCCATACACATTCTAAGGATCCCTCACCCTATTAGAAAATGCAAGCAATAAGCAGAGTTTTGATGGAAGCATGCTGCTGTCTTACAGCTTCAGCTCCACAAAGAATATTAATTCTGCTTGTACTGCTTAATATGATCAGCTAATAAATAATTTATTCATTGTGAAAGAACATGCAAATTGCACTCTCTGTGCTTTCAGAGTTTTTAATTCTACTTCTGTGTGAAAAAATATTAAATTTCAACAGACAGACTTGCTTCTTAACTTCCTTGGCACTAAGTCACATGAGAGAGTTCACCCAAAAATATCCACTGAACTCCATTTACAACAGCATGCTAGTGCAAACAGAACCGATAATCCCTACTGCTTATTTTACTGGCATGGAGTTGGTTTTATCCAATTAGATTACCCAACCGGGAAACTCAATCATCTGTCGGGACTGGCTGGAGTGCACATTTCTGCCTCTGCGGGGCCCATGCTCACAGGTGCATGCAAGCACTCCCACACTGTGTGCTTTGGCTCTCCCCTCTCTGAAGGGTTTAACATTTCTCTACCCAACACTTTAGAAAGCTCTCTGTAAGGAAGCTTTCCTTACAAACATGTCTTTTATGGTATTCTTCAATCCGAGTTGATATATTATGGTCTGAATGTATAGAAAACCAAAGGGGAAAACAACCTGGAAGAATGGGTAGACTCAAAGGGTAGTAGCTAATGGGACAAGGTCTACCTAGAAGCCCACTAACAGCAGAAAAGCACAGGGATCTATATTGTTCTATGTCTTTATCACTGACATGGAGGAAGTAAATCAAGTTTGCAGCAAGTACCAAACTGGGAGAAGCAGTGAATATACTCAAGTGCAGGGCCACATAAAGACGGCCCTACACAGGCTGGAGGAATCCAGCAGGAACCTTGTGACACTGAACAAGGACAAATGTCAAGTCCTGCACCTGGAAAGTCAGAGCCTGAGAGCACCTCTGCTGAGAAGGAGCTCAGGGTCACGTTAGGCAGCAGGTTCAACATAAGCCTGCAGTGTCCTTTGGCAACCATGATGGACAAGATCCTCCTGAACTATATTAAAATAAGCATGGCCAGTAGGCTGAAAGAAGTGTCCTTGCTTTACTCAGAACGTGAAAGCTGCTGACCAACCAGAAAGAGCTGAGTAGAAGGGCCATTATGACGAGCCAGCTCTTCCCAACAGTGCACACTGGCATGACAAGAGACAGTTGACGTAAAATGAAATAACAGATGTCTCAACTCCATAGAAAGAAAATAATTTTTCACCATTAGGGCATTCAAGTAGAGTAACAGACTACCTAAGAAGTTGTGCAGTTTCTGCCCTTGGTGTTTGCAAGATCCTATTTGTTAGACACTCGAGCAACCTGGTTTCATGTCACAGCTGACACTGCTATGAGCAGGAGGTTGGACCAGAGATTTCCTGAGGTCCCTTTCAATCTGAATCACTCAAGGATTCTATGACAAACTGAAAAATGTCAAAAAACATATAGAATTTTAAATAAACTGACTTTTAATTTTAAATAAAGTGTCTTTCATTAAGCTTATTTATTGCTGGGATCTTCATTCTAATGTAGGAAATAGAGAATCTAAATGCCAATAGAAATAGCTCAACATTCTCAGCCTCCAGTCCTACAAATCAGGATCCATTTGAATATATACACAGTTAGGTATATGGTTGCACAAAACTGTTTTTTATAAATGGAGAAACAGATAATATAGCCAAGGTAAACATTAAAAAAAACTTGAAAAAATGTCTACAGTGCCAATCCTGTAAATATGTAGACTTTTAATTTTAGGCATGGAGCTATGCCACTTGGAATAGAGCAACAGAGAGATAAAGAGACTCATGTACACTTACCTGCGTCTCAGACAAAGTATTCCAAAACCATCATTTTCTAAATGTTCCATTTGAAAATATCATAAACCATTTTATTTTAGACAGGAAACAGCTCAACTCTGATAAGCTTGGGAAGCAAAATTTCACTTCACAAGGAACTTACATTTTTAGCTAATGATTTTTAGTTACAGATGGGAATGTACTGAGTTTGATGGCAGCTCAGCCAAACCTCATAGGAAAGAAGTAAAAAATAGAATCCCAATCCACTCATTAATGAGGTAAAACCTGCACAAAATAATGATTTAACCACTAGGATTTAAATTCTTATCCAGGACTTCTTATTCTTGGAGTCTAATGGATTATTTTAGAGGGGCATCCTTAAAAATTAAAGAAATTTGATATGATAAAGAAAGAAGAAACCTTCTATACCACTGAAAATTATTAAGCAGATGTAAACACTTGAATAGATCTTTGCCCTCTTCCTTTAGCTGAGTACAAATATGCTTATCCAAAGAAGCAAATATTTTGGGCTTCTGGAAATAGAAAGGGGAAAAAAATTGCAAAATAAATCCTGTAGCACAGTGAATCTCCTCTTGAATCTAAAAAAATTATTATTATTTCCAGGAATTCAGCTAAACCAAGGTATTTTCTGTTCTCTTTTCTTTTTGTCTGCTCTACTGAAACATGTCTCCTGCTCGGCATTCTCATTTTCCCCTATGACTGAAATCAATCTCTTCAAAAGAAATCTACTGAAGTCTTTATTAGTTTGTTTAAAAATAAGACTTCAGGGATCTTATTTTTAAAAAAATGGTGCATTTTAACTTTATACTACATTCAGCTATTTCTTCATGTATCTTTCTGTTCACAATTTCCTTTTACATCCTGCTTATCTATCAGAGACCAAGCCCTTCTCAAAACCTTCATTGGTATGCCTGACTTCTGTCTATTCTTCATAGACCCTGGAAGCCCTTCACAAGGTAGGGAGTGCTTTCAGCTCCCTCTGAAATCAAAGGCGGCTCAAGGCAATCAGCAGCTCACATTCACCATTTCAGGGAAGCAAACTTCATGCTCCTGACGACTGTAATGACATTGCTGCTAATGCAGGCTGCCTCTAATTTATGAATAGTCTGAGCATCAGCGCCACCATTCCTTACTTTGTAATGTTTGCAGAGCAATAACTACAAAAGCCTGAAAATGTTATTTAACTCTTCATAACATTTTAAAGAGACAGAATTCTCAGGGGATAGCAATTTAGTCCTCAAATATGAAGCAATAGAAAAGATTACAGCCTCATTTGAAAAGCAAAACACTTTCAAAAGCAAGTTTCATGGTCTAGTTACTGTCCATTGCTGTTGGAATCATATAACAGGCGTATACTTAGAAACCTATACCTCTGCCTCTATTTTTTATTAGAAATAACAAATTCAACGGTCTAAATAAATGCCCACATTAAATGACATCTAAATATAAGCATTGTGCCATTATAGTTACAAAGGATTTAAATCAGAGAAAATAAGTGGTGTTTTAAAGAGAGTTAACTATTATGTGAAGGAAGCAGGGTGTGGGTGAATTCAAACTTGTTACCTTGTGAAAAAAGTACTGGATGGATTTTAAATCCCCCTCCATTCTTCAGCCTTTGAGGAAGCTGTTCAAAATGGTAACTATCAAGGTAGAAGTAAACCTTCAGTGTTTGCCGGCTTCCTTCTGCTTGGTATGTGATTGGTACATCTAAAAATACAGCCAGTGTTAACAATTTCATTGAAAGCAATTGCACATCCTTTTACAGAAACCGTTGCACCCAAAATTCATGTGGTTAGATAAAAAAATTACTGCAGACACAACTAATATATTCGGTATTTTACACTGTACATGGCATTGCTGTGGTCAGTTTTGGCCTAACCATTACCAGGGAGTAGACAAATCTCTCAGAGGAAGTCAGTTTAAATCAATTTAATTTTTTCATGTATTTCTTGTTTAAGTGCTGTTTCCACAGATAAGCCTCCAAGTTGAAAGCAGTAACAATAAAACATAGTGACTTGCATTGGTATTAGCATTACCTAGTTTTCACACTGTACACATACGTAAATGGTAAAGATTCCAAAAGGACATTTTTCACTACTTTTGGTAATAAGACTTTTTTTCTTTTACTGATTATGAAAAATCATAAATGAAAAAAAAAAACCCAACAAAAAACGAGTTACTTGTCTTCTGTAACCACAGCCAGGATGACTGCCGTGTCAGCACTTATATCCAAAGAAAATACAGAATTTATTACAATTCTCGAACACACAGACTTATTAGTATAGACACCTCAGTTGGAAAATGCAGCAATATGAACCATTCATGACATAGGTATAAGGTTAACTCCCTATCAGGAGGCCCTCCTGTAACTACATGTTATTACCTGGTCTAGCAGGGCTTCTTTTTAAAACATTTCAAGCCTTACTTGAATTATACCGAAATAACTATGGCCTTATACAGGCTAATTCCCACCTGACTACCAGCCCTGTGCTACTGAATTCCTCAGAGCCAAGGCAGCTTTGTGGATGGCTTTGCGTCTTCTGGTTTTGGTTACTGCAGAAGTTCTCTCATGTGTGGTCTCAATCCAGCAAAGGAATTGTTTCAGAATGACTTGATGTGAAGCAGACACGCTTTCCTCCCTTCCCAGGGGAGTTATGAAAAGGGAAAAAATGAGGGCTTTTTGCACACTAAACAAAGTTCACTGAGGGAAAATATCTACAGGATGAACACATATTAATAAAGGAATGGCTGAAAATAAGTGAAGGGGATGAACTGCAAACTGCAAAGACAGTTCCTTCCTGGTGAGTTGGGCGACTCTGGGGAAGACCTTGATTGTCTGCAGCAGCAGATCTCAGAGAAACTTCTTGCCCAATTTAGAGCTATCCTAATAGTGTTTGCCATCTCATTTCAAGGAACTCTTCCAAGATCTACTTTGGTTTTCAGACAATAAAATGAAATGGGGTTCTCCATCTCACATCAGTTGCATTTCCCTACTGAGAGACATTCAAGATATTTTTACACGTTTCTTCAATAACAACTGGGTCTTCCAGGGACTTTCCTGATTCAGACGCATACTCCCAATGGAAAACTCAGTTAAACAAACAATTTTGCCCCAAGGTTACTGACATTGCCAGATAAGGATTCAGCATTTTCACTGATGATCTCAGGACATCTAGGAATGTTAGGAGAGCTACAGATCTACTTATTCTCCGTAATTCCAAGTTACATAACATTCCCGGTGGGAGGTGATGTTCTAGGAACAAAAAATGTTACAAAAACAGTAAAGCTCAGATACTAATTACTCACTCGCAAATAAGGGTTCTGGCTCTGATTGTCTGAAGTAAAAAGTAACTTTTTCCAAGTCAAACAATGCAACCAATGTATCTTCTAGCATGGCTTGCTCATCAGTCTAAAAAAGGCAAAAGGAAAATTGAAAAGGTCATTTCAGCCAGATGTTTTCCCCAGCAGAAATAACATAAGAGAGCAGGACTTAAATTAACTACAGAATGTTACAGAACATTTCACTGATGCAGTGTATAACCTATTTAACTGCTAGATAATGCAAATATCTTTGTTTCTATTGGCACTTTCCCTTTTATTACTATTCCAAGATGATAAAAATGAATGTTGCCATTTCACATAGTAAATTAATATGCAATTTATAGCTACCATTACTGCTTGTGGTTTTGTAAAACACTGGATTATTACATTATTGGGTCGGAACCAACTCAAGGGTGTGGGGGGTGGGGGGGGAGGGATTGGTCAGATCTCATGGAGGTGAGGTAATGCTGTATCCCACATGCCAGCCCTTGTGAGTGTCCTGGGGCAACCCAGGAGCAGCTGCCAGTCACTGGCCACTTGGAGTCTGCTGGGCAACCCCAGGACAGCTGCCAGTCAAAGCCAGCCTGGAAACACTTCAACACACCACACTCCCTGGAGCCCCTAATCCAGGTTTAGGTTGGCTGGCACACCAGGAGCACTGCCCCTCACCCTGCCCCAGAGCCACAGAATGGCCAGTGGGCCAGAAGTCCCGCCTGACAGAGGTGGTCACAGGAGGTGAGCGCAAAAAAACAGCAACTCGTGGCTCCATTTTCACTTTAGACCTTCAATGTGGAATCTGGACTTACACAGGACACACTGGTGGTAGATCTTTTCCTTTACTCTCTCTCTTTCTTTACTCTTACTTCTTATCTTAATCTCCTTTCTCAGTATTTTGGGAAACTTCGGACTGAATGTGTTGGACTTTGCTAACCTGTATGGGTTAGCATGTGCTAAGTGGAATGCACTGTTTTGGTTGTTTATTACCCTTTTAAGCTTTTGCCTAGTTCTATTATTTAGTCCCTTATTTTCTAAAGTTATCAGTAAAAGTATCTCCTCAGAAAACTTCTGTAGCATATTGTCTTTACGCTACCTCAAGGTATTAAAGAACCAAGGGCTCTTCTAAATATTTGGTGGGTGAATTTTTTGAGCCTTGTCTCTTTTTTAAAGTAAAATTCCTGACTGAGCTTGTACCTCCGGGGCTGGGGTCTTACAGGCTTTTAATCAAACAATTTTGTCATTATTCTGTAAGACACCAGACTGTAACATCTTGTACTGACACAAGGTCTTGCTTGTAAAGCAAGAGGGGAAATGTGAAAACTGAATTCTTCTTTTTAGCAACTTTCTTTAAAAAATACCATAACTTTAGGAGTTCATTTATGAATAAAGATAAGAGTTCATTATGTCCACTCCAAGCATTGATAATTGAACCAGCAGCTCAGAGCAAGCACAGCTCAGGGTGACCTGCACTTTTACCTATAGAACTCTAGGTGTAAGTCAAATATGTGGATGTGCCAACATTCTGATTTGCACCTATGTTCACTCTGTGTACTCCTGAGCTAAAGAGATAGTTAAAGAGATCCAGGACTTCTCAAGGCACTTTACTAAATCTTTAAAAAAGGAAAATAGTAACCTTCAAGTATGGTTATCTTGAGTTAAATATTCAGAGCAATTACAACAGAAATCAATAATCACTTAAAGTAATTCTATTCCCTACACAACGCTCCCCTAGATTAGAAAGAGCCAAAAGGAAACCTGAGGCATGCCTTTTTCCCCCTAAGAACTGAAACAGTAGGAAGACAAGGAATAATAAACTAGCTGCCCCTAAATTGAGTATAAACAATAGTTTACTGAATTAAAGAACAGAAAAAAAATCCCATGATTTTCCCTGATCTGTATAGTGAAATAGCATTCCCATTTGTACATATGAAAAAGCAAATCTGCTAGAAATATCTTTTCTCCTGGTTCAATTTAAGAAGTCTGTGGACAGACTGATTTTGCCAGCAGAACAGTCTGAAAACCATGCAGTGGCGTGGGAAATCCTTGCACAACTGCTCATTCTTTACTGAATTCTGGTCATAATGAGTGTAATTTCCTCCAAATACCCTTGTTTAAAATAACACGGATCATTTGTAAGTCAAATAGTGCTGAGAAGGTATTGAAAAAGTGGTCTTTACATTTCCCTTGGTTAAGAACTGTTAGACAGAAAAGACAGAACTTTATTTTCAATTTGACAATGCATTCTGCTGGTATCTGATTATGTGAAAATAGCTAAGTAGCACACATTTTCACTACAAAGGAAATCACTATGATCTTGAAAGAAAAAATATAAGTATCCAGTGCTGTAAAGACAACAGTTGCTTTGTGGCAACATGACAAGAAAGCACACAGAAAAGCATAAGACAAACATTGACTGAATTTACTTTTGAACTCCAAGGATTCCAGCACCGGGGCATGTTGATGCTGCATGGTGCCAAAAAAGCATCCAAGACCCAAGACATGAGTCCAAGCTTCCCGGTACTTTCTTCACATACTCCTCATGTGGATAAAGAGCTGTCCTGTTTCTCTGAGGCACTGATTTTATCTCTTTGTAAGCTGCACATGTTGTTCTGACGCACCCTGTCCCATGCAAGCCCACATCGGTACCTCAACTACCTCTGAGGTATCTGCTCACACTGACTCCAACAATTGCATAGACTAAGACTTTATGATTTTGATTTAGAAATGCCTTTATTTTTATTGGTCTCCTCAGCTTCTAAAGTTTCTCAGGTCAACTTGTCTGCAAATTTGCTGCCAAGATAGACAAGGAAAGGAAACAACACCTTTGATACTAGAAATTTCATCTTTTATTTACATGGAGTTTTATACAGTATGATGGACCAAATCAGTTATTTTCAGGGAGCAGCCCCAGAGGTTGAGAAGACTGTCATGGAACAGACTATGCAGACTGCTTCATGGTTCTTCTGGTTAGCAGGAATCCATTTAGTGTGAAAAACACCTTAAATAGCTGAAGAAGCACTTTGGATAACTGGGGACTAAAGGGCTACAAAGCCATGTCCCTTATTTAATTGTTCCTTAAGCCATGGCTCTTTGCCAAGCCTTGTGGAAGAAAGAGCCAATTTCCAATTTCACTGATAGACTACAAGGATTTTCCCTATGATCAGCATGTTTAGTTCTTCAACTACTATAGACCTATAGGTATTTTGGGGGGAAGGGTGATAAAATTAACTAAATTAGGTAATTAATTTATCTTGCATTGTTGCTTATTGCAAAATGAAGTTCTGGTTATCATCTAATACTACATTTACTCCCAGGGAACAGCTACAATAGCAGTGGGGAGTCAAGGGTAAACTTGCTGTCTGCTAACTCCAAACAAACATAATACTGCCTTTGTGGAAATCATATTTCCCATATCATAAACCAAACACATCCCACATCTGTAATTATCTGAATTGCAACTTTTCCAAATAGCAGCTAATTAAGTACCAAGCTAAGCATAAAGAATGCAGAAAATCACATTTATATCTAAGACTGTTTAACCATTTCCCTGGTGCAGTGAATGAGCAGGAGCTGCGGCCAAGCATGCCACATGGGGAGTCTTACCAGGTTTGGCGAGAGCAGGGACTGGAAATGAAGGAGAAGACCTGCACTGGCTATCTGTTCCAACCACCTCCTGCTGGCCTCCAGTGTCTCCATTTCATATTCTTTGTTGTTGTCAAACATCTGATTTAAGGCCACCATTAGCTGCTCTGAAAATGCACAGACTGTGGCCACCAGGCTCTGACAGAAGACCATGTCTCGCCTCAGCTGTATCTCGCTGTCTGTGATGGGTAGAAGCCAGAAGAGCAAAGGCAAAATGGAGCAGTAGATTAATTAACAGCAAAGGAACTGAGCTGGAATTCTTTTCTTTGGCTAAAAAATATGTCATTTAAATGTCAAGTAAATTAAAAGTTTACAGCCTAATGTTATTCCTGGGAAATAGTACTCCAAGACCAAATATTTTAATGTGGAAAATGGCAGATTATTTTCTAATTCTAAAATTATATATGAGTGTATTTAAAATCTGGAATTTAAAGTATTTCTTCATGAACAACATACATTTATCTTGTATATTTTGATATACACGCCATCAATTCTAAGTACTTTTGATGTCACAAGGCAATGGATGTGAGTTAGACCTTTTTGCTGCAATGTGAGAACAAGATGGGCACAAAAACATTTACTTTCCACCAGAAAACAAGGACAGTAAGAAGCTATGAATATGACTGCATCATCTGGTCAACTCCACAGCTACCAGCTGGGGAGGGCAGATGAACACTTTCTGCTGTAAAGCACAAAGTGTTGCTACTAGAACACAAGCTATCCAAATACAATATATATGAATATGAATCTATAAAATAAGCACAGAGCAACATCACATATCCAGGAAGCAGCAGAAAGTTACAGTGTCAGGAAAGTCCAGGAGGAAGGTCCCTAGATAGATGTCTATGGATCATTAGCAGCTGATTTAAATTAGGGACTAGCTAACCTACCAATTTATTCTGGAGGGCACAAGCATTAGGTTAGATAAAGGTCAAAAGAGTTAGAAATGGAAACATATTCTCAATAAAGTACAAAACTGTGGTGATAAATATTCAGTGCTTCCCTCTTCTCCTCCTTCCTGAAGGTCTTCAAGTAATTTTATCATTATGAGCTGTTAGGCAAACATCAATCACAATGGTACAGGTAGACTTAATCTTTCTCAGACCAAAAGAAGCAGATCAGGTGATACTGATGTCTTTCCAAAACCTAAAATATTTGCCCTCGCTTCTAGATTCCTCTGCCCCTTTAGGCTTAGCTCCTTTTCCACTTTCTCTATGGATCTGACAAGAATTTAGATGACTGGATAAGTCAGCAGAAATAATTCTGTACTCAAAAAATTACCATCGACTTGAAAAAAAAAAATTTTCTTGGGCTCCAAGTATTTCTCAAAGTAACCTCATTCTGTCTGCTTTCCTTCTGAAATCTTATTTATTCTTTTCCTCAACTACTGATAATGGTGAACACTCTTTTACTATCACTTCTATTCCATTTTCCCACTTCTCAGGACCTTGGGAATGTTTTCCATAAACAGCCAAATCACTACTGTTTCTGCACTGTGACTCAATGCCTTTTGTTTCGATTATTCAAATTAACCTTTCTCTCTCTCTCCAGTATCTCAAGTTGTGCAAATCCAGTGCAGATAGAATTTTCATCTTTAAAAACTCCGCACATCTCCAAAAATCCCACTGGCTTCTCTGTGGTCAAAATCTTTCCAAAGTCACAGCAGCACTGAGGAACTTGTGCCCAAAACACATTCTGTCTCCTTGTTTTGCTCAGTTTTATCTCTGTTTGTCTAACAGCAGCTGACTTTCGGTGCCTTCCTCTGTATTGCCTGCTTCTGAAGCAGCCTTCTTGTGTCTCCAACACCTCATTTCTAAATCTCATTTAATACTACTTGAATACGAGAGCACTTTGGGCTCTTTTTACAAAACTATTTTTACACAAAATAAACTATAGAATTTACCAACTTACAAATAGAATCATAGAATCTAACAAAATTGTTGTTGTCCTAACAAAAATAAGAAAATAATAATGCATTCATCTAGTAATGCAAGATGGTTAAAATCAGCTTTTACAGTTAAATTGGACTGCCTACTTCAACATTTATGCACATACAAACTGTAGAGAAACTTCTATCATATTATTTTCTAAATACTGATTCACTAACATTTATTTTGCAGACTCACGTGCCTATTTTGTGCATTTGAAGCGGTGTGCTGTATGGGGTGATGAGAGAATTAATACACACAATAATCAAAGCCCTTTCAAGAAGGAGGGACCTAAATTTCCTCTGAAATAAGATAAAAGAAAAGGTATGGGTTAAAATAGTAAAGTAAGTGGGGAAACAGATGGGAATGAAAAGAAAAAGAGCAAATAGGAAAAAGCCCAACAGAAGAAAGTCAGCAGAGGTACTGTGCACAAGCTGAGAGTTTAGATGTTTCTTTATCTGCCAAGATCCATAGTAAACAACCAGATAAGGCATTTTGCATTAAAAAAAAAAAAAAAGTGCAATGTTTGTTAAAAATGTCTGGAATTCTGTTCTTCAGGAATCCTCACTGTAAACACAGGGATAAAGTCATTGATTATCAGGTTTTATCATCTCTGACATTTTTCCCTTTCTCTAAACAGCATTCTGTCCAAAAGCAAAAATAATCTCAAACCGCCCACATTCACTTCCCCTCCTCCCAAATCAAGCAAAATTACCTGTATACTCAAGAAGTGCCAACAGTATTCGTGCCTTCACCTCTTAAAGAAAAAAAAGAAAATATTTTGAGATCATGGTTAAAAGTGTTTTCATCAACATTATAATGCATTTGCAGTCTCTCATTTTACCACCTTAACTCCAACTTCTTGTGTAGGCAATCCTGATTTACACCTACGAAACAGTAATGAATCTCAACTTCACTTGATTGTACATAAAACTTGATAAAAATTGATTATAATCAAAATCACCAACAATGAGAAGGACACATGAAGAGTTAGCAGCTATCTGAGATCACATGAGTACCAGCTGGTCGGTGTAAGTCTACATATGAAGAATTTCAGCCTTAAAACTTTGAAAAACAAGTTTTCATTGATTCCCAGAATACATCAATTCTTTCTTCTCTCTCTCGTACTCTCTTGTTCTACACTAAAAATCTCAAATTATCCTCATTTTAATGTATACCATAGGATCTAGGAAAAATACAACATTATTTTCACTTAAAAATTTCACTTAACAATTTATGAAGAAAAAATATACACTTTAAAAAAAAAAGTCTCAATTTACACTAGATTTTGGGGATATATCTCTTTACACTTCCCCCCCCCCATACTGTTTTTTCTTAGAGGGGCTGTTTCTCAGAGTTTGCAGGCAGAAGAAAGTGATTCTTCCACTTTGTGTACCAGAGCACAAATTTAAATGTGTTAACCACCACTGCAAAAAACAGGCAGATAAAAAAGCTGCCATAAAATTAGAGAATTTCCAATTTCCAGCATATCAGTTGTCCTACAGGTACTACCTGCAGGAATACAACACTATTCACACGCTTTCACACCATTCCAAACTTTCTTTCACACTCAGTTTTCTCTGCAGTCCCATTCCAAGCCCTGCTCTCTGAACCAGAGGAGCTGCCATTGTGTATAGGGACAGGAAGAAAATTTGTTAATGTGTTTCCCCCTACTTGAACGTGTCTGTGAAAAGCCAGAATCTTCCCCAGAGGTGACCAGGTTTGAAAAAGTAGAAAATCTTTCAATTTTGGTCTTTAATCATTCTGTACACACATTGCAAAATGAAGTGGCAGTGCCCACGCTTCTGAAGTACGAGCCCACGGTATCTCAAATACAAGCACCAAAACATTTAAAATTACTGGTTATTCTTGAAATTTGCAAGGTGATAGATCTTTGCCTTAGCCTTCTGTCTTTTGAAAAAAACCCACATAACTTACAGAGATTAATAACTTGGCATCTTGGACCCTGAACATAGTTTAGTAACTTAAAATAAAGAAATACAGTTTTTATCTAAATAATGTAGATACACTGAGGCTATTGCTTGCAGTTTGTTTTACATAAGATTTGTTGGATCTCTGCATTCAAAAGCATTTGAGGTATCTATAAATAATGATTTCCTGCTTATGGGAAAATTACAGGACACTGCAACTCTATCACTGCTGATGTTTGATGTTTCAAAATAAACTCACAGGAAAAAGGGTATTTTTAGGTTATTTGTATAGAGACTTACCTGGGGTTAGAAATGAACCTTGGATGTCAATCGTTTCCTTTTCAACAAATATCAAATGCTATGGAAGTTCTCCCTACTTCTTGCTACATGTTGTCTGGAAAGAAATAACTCCCCAGCAATTTCTCTTTAGACTATGGTTTGTAATCCAAGATGCCTTCAGCTTCTTTTATTTTTAAACATTCTTTTGCACTTTATTTAAAAAACCCTCTTTATTCTGCTATTCTTATCATTTCTGGGAAAGACTAGATTTTAGTTTTGTTTTTCACATCTGAAAACACTTTAAAAATAAGACTGGGGTTTGCACTGCAAGTTTTATGATTTAAATTGACATATATTTTTTTATACCTTCAACGACTGAAAGGCTCCTTTATGCCTCACTCCTAATTTAAATTAAAATAGATGTGAACTTTATTAATTCCATTGTGTTTCCAGTTTAAACTTAAAATTACTGTTCTAGAAAAACAACTGCACTTCCTCATGTAGCTATTTGACTAGTTGACCAGAAATATGGTTTGCTTTAAAACATCTCTGCTTTTGAACAAAAAGCTTACCTTTTTTTCTTTTCTGTTTACACCCTTCTGTTGTTGACTCCCTCTCTTTCCATCCATCTTGGGTTCCTACTCGAGTTATCCCCCAGCTTCTCCTCATGTGCTTTCTGATTCCCATGTTACGTATCTCACACAGACACAGAATCACGTACCTACATTATTCTTTCTCTGTTCAGTGACTGTTGATTTCCTGCCCTAACTTCGGCTCTCTCCACTAAAATCAAGCACTCCATCTTCAAAGACGTGCCTGCACCAACAACGCATCATTAGCTTTACTGGTCTAGCAATTTAGTAGGCCCAGTCACTCCAGGAAATAACTTCATTCTTTGCTTTAGTTACTTATCTCCACATAAATCCCCTTAGAATCTGTATGCTACTTCAGAGAATTCTTCAATTCTAACAACTACATTAGCCTTCTAGCGCTGCCTTTTATGGTAAACATAGAAAGTTTTTCTTTCTCTAATGATATGATAGGGTAAATGAAATAAGTCAAAGCAATCTGCATATATATTTTAAGTTTGCTGTCAAGGAAGGTTTGATTGTGGGTTTTTTCTGTTTGTTTGTGGTTTTGTTTCTTTTAAATCTGTGAAAATCTTCATGGATTTTTTTAAATTTTTCTTCTAATTTCAATACTAATAACAAGAAAACTGACAGACCAGAGCAATCATCGTCAAGGTGCTCTGAGTTTTCCCATTCCTTCATTTTTTTAAACAAAGTAAATAAAAAGAATCTTAATATCTAGGACTTTGAACATCTCATTGTGTCTCCATCCCATGTCTCCTTCTGCTTTAAAGCACTAATCAATTTAACTTAATAGATTCTGCAGTGCAACAGAACAATGAGTAAAAAATTACAATAGCCTGTGATACTTGCAGAAAAAGAAAGTATTCATCCTTACTTTAGCATTGATCAATAATGCTTAAGTATATTTATAATAACTGGAGGTTTTAATTAAAATTTTTCCCTCCAGGTGAATGAATTTGTATCTGTGATCTCCTCTGACCTCTCTTAAACCTGCTAGAAGAGACAAATATATTGCTCTCCTCAATTATTATCGAAATACAGCCTCTTACTTACAAACCAACAGGAATACTCTTCTAAAATCTCAAGATATTACTCAACTTCTTCTCAGAAGCCCAACTAAAGAGTCAAATGAGGTGACATCTTCTAGTTTTTTTCTGAATTAGGCAAATACAAGGGGAAATGGGAAGAGGACTCTGTACCATGCGTTAGGTTTTCAGCCAGAAATAGCTCAGGGCAGTACTATTGGTTCTCCTAGGTATCCTGACCATCTGTGAACACAATGTAGGATGGCAAGACTGGAAAGGAAAAATCAAGAAATGAAGATATGAAGGGGAAATCTGGCTATTTAAAACATTTTTAACCCTGTTTCATGCTCATCTGATTTCAGTTAAATCCATCTGCTGGTTATGTCTCTAATATATATAAGCCTAGGCCTGCCTAAATCATAGCAGTCTCCCAAATTTTCCCGAGGGGAATAATTCTGCACTGAATCTTTTCAACACTGAATTACATATACCTGTCCAAACATGCCTTGGAAACTAAGGCTTGAGAAGCAATTATCCACTTCCATTCCCCTATTTCTTCTTCATGCTATTTGTGTCAGGGAAGCCACAAGAACACAGGCTTTCAGGTATCCATTACAGTGGTCCCCAGGAAAATCAAATTTACAGTAAAGAAGAGACATTAATGATCCCAGTTGGGACATGGCGGTGGTGGAACAGGAATCAAATTAAAGGAGAAAAACTCTAAGACACTCATATGTAAAGACTCATGGCAAATAAAGAACCCAAGATTTTACCTGCAAACCCATGTATTTGGGTAAGAAGATGGCACAGAAGTCACTTATAAATCTCTGACAAAAGCTCAGATGTCATGGACACAAAGGGAGAGCCAAGAATATTTAAAACTGGCAAACATCTTCTGATACACACTGAGAGAAGGTAAGGCAAAGTGTGTGCTGGTCTTGAACAGCACAAGAATAACGCCTTTTACTATTTAGCTCTCTGAACCAAGCACCATTCACAAGCATGTCATCTGCAATACAGTTAGTTACTGTAATTTATTAACAGAAAAAATGTTTCATCCTTATTTCTAAAACACTAGAAAATGCCAACAGTTTTATTGTTCTGTAAACATCAAGATTTTTCTGATAAATAGCACTGTTACACTATAGTAGTATAGTAAAAAAAAAAATAAATTTCGTATTATAGAGAGGCAGCAAGTCATTTGGACCTTGCTGAACTCTCCCACAAAATTTTGTGGTAGATTTTACCCCAAATTTATTTCAATAATCTCAGCTCAATATTGAGGGTATATGACCAATGTTAAAATGGGTTAGGTCTACTAAATTTATTTATAGGCAAACAAGTTATGTGAAAATGGTCTGGTAAGCTTAGCTTCAGAAAGGATGCAAGGAAGGACTGTTGAAGATACATTTCCATTCTATCTCAACTGTGAAAGACACTCTGATTAATACTTGAATATAATTTGGCTTAGGCTGAAGATAGGCCTCTAGAAAAAAGGATTCAGAAATATTTATTAAAATATTCCCTCAGTGACAGCCACCATTAAACTAAAAGAAGTATTCCTAGTATTGAAGAGTCAACCCACTGTGATTGACTCCAGAAGGAGGAGATATTTATGGGACTTTTTTTTCAATTTTCTAACACAGGGTCTGAAAATATGATTGCATCTGAAATCAGAAATACCAAGAGTCAGAGAGGGAGGAGTTTGTTTGGTTTGGCTGCTTAGTTTTAGAAAGTTTATCCTAATAAAACTTATCACCAAGTTCTTTTCCAGTGATCTGATATTTAACAGTTTCTTTATGGGACACCATGGAAATAATCCCACAAAACAGAAGAAGCTAAACACACACAAATAATTTAAAGCTAGACCCGACATAAGTTTTTATTACCACACAGACTCCTAGCGCAAGAGTTTGTATCAGAATAATTTCGCTCATTTTTCTGTTTCTTTAGCAAACAGCACAGGAAATAGGATATTCTGGAGAGGAAATCCCAGTTGTTTTCTTATGAAGAAAGAGGAGAAAGCAGAAAACCTCAGTTCACATTGTCACTTGATGGTGAAGAGAAGCAGAGTCTTTGTGGTAAAGAGGGGGAGTAGTTGGTAAACTTCTAGACAGTAGTGTGAGGGAGGAAGAGGAGTGACAGCATCAGTTGGAATGGATTAAGTGAAGACCACGGCTTTATGGTGAAAGTGGGAGCATGATTTTAGAGGGATAGTGACTCCAGACAAAGACAGAGAAGACCAAGATATAGGACAAAAGCTGTCCTGCAGAGTTTTCATCTTTCCATTTAAGATAGTGGAGAAATTAGTCTAATTTCAAGAAAAGCCTCAATTTGGGATATCAGTCCCACGAATTTCTGTGACAAATCAGTCAAGCCCACTGGACTTCAGCAGCAACTGAAATAACCTACCATATGCAACATATGGTTGTTTTCACTTGTCAGAAAACTATTTTCTCTACAGCATCTGAAGTCTACAGGGTAAGCAGAAGACAGCTGAGATAACTCCACTAACCTTGTCATTAAGAATGCAAAGTCCTGTAGACTACACTGCATTTAGCAAATCTTGCCTAGCACCATCATGAAGCAGTATCTCTTCCCTTTCTTTTCCTTCCCTTGGCTCTGTATCATTAATCAAGTGTTTATTTATGATGATGTTGCTCTTACTAACCTTCAACAAATTTTCTGATATTCTGGGCAAGGCTCCGGACACTGCTGGGAAGGTTCCAAGGGTCTTGCTTGATGTGGAGTCGTAGCCTCTTTGGACAGTTAAGCTTTGGTTCCATTTCCTGCTGAAATTCTAAGCAAGGATAAAAATAGTATTTTTCTGCTTAAACCTCCTGAGAAAGCCACAATAAGACAGTATTTCTTCCTAAATGTTTTCACTGCTAAAGGAGTTGTCAACTTATTTAACTCCAGTTAAAGCTATGGTGATGGCTCAAACATCTAAGCTCCCTACTTAGTCTAAGGAGAGAATGAGCAGCATCCCCAAACATAATTCTTTCTAAACCAAGTACATAACATAGAAGTTGCATGTCTCCTTGGAGTAAGTGGGACACTGGAACTTTTAGAGGCAAAATTACTTCAATCAGAAGATTAAATTTAAACCAAAATTACTAACAGCTAGTCTGTCTTTCAAATAATTGAAGTGCTCCTTGTACAGTTCATGAAGATTATGCAGATCAAGAATAACATATCTGGTGTGTCTATATTGTGTCTAACTGTTATACTATAACTATTATACCACATTTTGCTGTGTGAACCTGCTCTAGGTTCATCTCAGTTATTTTAGTCCCAAAACTGCAAACAAACAAACAAACAAACAAACAAAAACCAACACACCCCAAAATAATAGAGGTACAGTAATTATGCAATATTGATTTCAGTGAGATCTTGGTACACTATATACTATCTTCTTACTACTCTCTGGCCATCTAAAATCAGTTTTCTTTGCCAAAAGGCAGGTAGGATCAATAAAAGTTCTTATATATATTAATGCAACTTTCAATTTCCCACCGAACCTCTCTCTTTTTTTCTTTTTAAATGAAATTCACCAAAAGAAGTCCTTTGTATTTTTCATCGCAATCTTATGACTACTACCAGATACCTATTTATACACTTAGACTTAGGCAACTATGCAAGTGTTAATAGAGTATCTGAATTTACCTACAGGGTATTTTTTTTAAGCTACAAGTAATACTTACATAAGCATAAATTTCACATAAATACTTCTGTAAATATAAATTTACACTCACAAATTATTTATAAATTAGCTTCAAAAATAGTATAACTACAAAAATAATAAAAATCTGGCATTAGTAATAAAACAGATCAGGAATGGCTTCAGTAGTTGAGGCAAAACTGTAATAAAAACACCTGCAATGTGCAAAACCTGCTTCTTGCTGCAAAAACCTCACCAGTGCTAGTCAGTTCAGAGTCTACAATTTAGCTGACTATCCAACAAACCTGAAATCCTTTCATACATGGTGCAATAAAAGTGTAAGAAGCCAGTTTTCAGCTAAGAATTAAGATCTACTTAACATGAATTTCAACAATCAATTTTTGCAGAATACACCAAGATTAAGCAAAATCAGTTCTTGAACACCCAGCTCAAGGAGTAGATAGCCATATCCATGTCCTCTTTAAGCTGTCTTTTGATTCTGATAGGTAGAATTAAATGTTACCTTGGAGGCCTCGACCTGGTGTAAAGTATTTTGTCTGTTCAAAGGCCCTCATCACAGCTGGTCCTTTCAGAAGACTGACAATTGAATCAACCTGTTGGGATCAAGGTTCTGTGAGAAAGATGTATTTTACAGCAACAATCAGAAATTCTTTCTTTAAGAAATATGACCACAGACAAGCAACTTCAGATTCTTTCTTACTTAATAGGTCCAGTTAAGGTAACAAGCTAGGGAATGTTAGACTAAATTTAAGGACCTGTTTAATTTGCAGGTTTGGATTATTTATAGAAAACTGAAGGAAAATGAGTAAATACATACCATCCCAGTAAACAGTGGAAAGCAAAAGTAAAAAGAAAAAGAAGTATTTTCTAAAGACATCTTTGCTCAGACATAGACATTAGTATCAAAGCCAAGGAAAATAGTCACATACTTGGCCAAAAAGATGCTCCAAGCAGCTAAGGAGCTTGTCCTGTTTATCATGGGAGATTCGAACACTTATGGGAAGCTCATCGCCTGAAAAATATTTTAAAATGAAAAACTCTTCAGAAGTTTCAAAATGTTTTACCAAAGCTTTGAAGCTTAGATAATTTGCTTTGCACACAGACTGATGTCTTTTAGGATCATAGTAACTGTACTCCCTACATACTTTGCATTTACTAGTCACTCAATAATACTGAAAAAACCCTTAAAGAAAGGATCCTATTCAAAGCCCAAGTCGTCAAGGTCCTGGAAAACCTGTTCTACATGAGCCTGCTTGAGGAGGGGACTGGACTGGACGATCCCTAAGGGTTCCTTCAAACCTCAACCATCCTGTGGTCAGAACGCACGATTCTTCTGAAGAACAAAATAAACAGCTAAGCAGTGTGAACCTAATGTAGCAAACCACAAAGTCACTGAAATGCATTCACCATAAAACTTCCATAGGGACTCTATAGACAATTCGCTGTCTTAATGATCTTACTAATTGAACAGTTATGATAATTTAGTCATTCAACAAAAATACAACATCCAAATCCTGTATTTCATATATAAGTTTTTAGTAGCACATACCACATAATTTCCTAAGAGAGTGCAAAGGAGAAAGACTCTTTTAGGTCATTGTATTGTCACTCGCTCTCTTAGACAACAGGTAATGCAAGCCAAACTCTTTCAAAAACTGTGAGAAACTGAGCTTAAAACTGATTTTCCTACTTGATGGGACGGTGACATATAAGAAGTAGCCACTTAATAATTTATAATCCAAATATGTTCATGGTCAATCTAGACACATCATTCTTATGTCAGTGAAACACTTATACGGCATTTCTTTATCTTGAGTTTTTTTTCAGCTCGTTTAGCTTCCCTTACAGTCAGCAGTTATACCCCTTCACAGGATTTTAATTGCATCAGATGGAGCATGGTGTCCAAGAGCACTGATTTGGAGTTAGCCAGGTTAGCTGTGGAACTAGGAGAAAATTAAGTCATCCGAAGAGTGGGAGTTTCACTGAGCAGCAGTATTTATCATCTTGAACTAGCACAGACATATTATTTTAGGCACCTCAGTTGGTACTTCAGTTTGATGCTGCACAGATAGATATCAGTTCATTCATATCTTAAATTGAAGATACAGATCCTGGGTCTCCTCTTTTATTAACAGTTCTCTATGTCCTTCATCCTTTCCTCTGTATTTACTCAGCTCTATAAGAGTGCATCATTTCTGGAAATTAAATTCTGCCTTATTCACACTATTTTGCATTATTCACAAGCTATCTCTGATACCTTGCATAATGTCTTAATGCTTTCCTGTCCCAACTGAAAATACTTATCCTGGTACAACCAGCAATAAAAATTTGCCTTCTCTATGGCCAAGTCTCACTGGTGGCTCATATTCAACTAATACGCCAAGTTCTTTCTTTTCCTAAGTCATTCTCAAAAGATAAACTCCCAGCTTAGAGAAAATATTTTTTTATTATTACTCCCTGAGTATATGACCTTGTACTCCATGCAGTTAAATCCCATCTCATTCCTATTAGCAGCTGCATTTATTTAAATTCAATTTGTCACGGCATAAACAAGAATGTGCTTCTATGTGGTCTCACATTCCTTCCTACAAACATACACAGCCATATCCTGCCCTCTGGGTGCTGACACTGGCCGGGAGAGCATTCCACGCTCACCTAAAATGCTCCTTGCTCTGTGCAACATAATGCACTGTTAAGGTCAAGACATGAAAGATGTTAAAAGCAGTGCCTCCAAGAGCTCTAATGGAGTCTATTCACAGAGACACTGGTAAGTTGTGTCTCTCTCACAGAAGGACTCTTAAGTGCAGCACTAGCTAGGCAGAAGCAAGATTATGCACTTCTATTATGAAGGAGGATGCAATTTTTAAAACTAAAACAATAAAACTGCCATGCAAATTAAAAGAATAAAATTGAATAAAAGCAACAGATGGCAGGTTCATAGCTGACTTTTCTAAACATACCTGAATCCATTTCGTCACTGTGAAAATAAGAACTGCACTGACTGCTACAAATGCTGGTGAAAGAGGCAATGGAGTTCCTATTGCTGTTGCAATCGCTTGAAAATAAAACACAAAACAAAAAAAGAAAAAAGGTTATGTCCTTTAACAGACTCTGTAACAAAGTTATGGAATTTTTTTCCCTTTCCCTCTCTTAAATTTAATGATGAGGCGATCTGTGTAATTCTTCATACACAACAAGGATCCCTGTGCTTAGGCTATCATTTAATTTGCAATCCTAGTAGGACTGAGAAGACCAGATTCCCAAAATAGATGCTTCAATTGCCTCCCTTCACCTTGCATGTTAACAGTTACTTGCAGAATGGTAATATACACTTTCAATGAAAACTAATTCACTTTTGTTACACAAATGGCAGTTTTTGAAACTGTGGCCTAAAATGTTTTAGTGACTCTACATTTACTCCTGGTCCATAGTTAATACAAATGTCAAGACTTTACGACTTGAAAAATACCATCCCATAATGGGTTTACAAGAGATTTGATCCATTTGAGCAGCCCCAAAACTCAAATTAAAAACTATTTTCCTTGCCAGCCAAAAGATAGTTTATGATCCCATTTTTTCCAGCTGTTCATTTTTTTTAGAAATGTACAGACATTTACATCTGTGGTTTCACTCAAAACTTCTATGCACATAATATGTCACCCACATTGGTCTAGTAAGGAGATTTGGAGATTAAAATTTGTAATTTTTTTCTTCTCTTTTCTCTCAAAATAAATTGTTCTGCATAGAAAATACATGGAGAATGTACCTACTTCGGCAGCAAAACAAGAGTAAAACATACATTTTTGTACTAAAAATCCTATGAAGATAAATTTGAATTCAAAGTCTTCAGAGTTACTTAGCCACATGAAGATCATTTAGTTTCACTGCAGGAAATGCATAAGTAATCATCCAGAAGAGGGAGTCTTAAAATTGAATGTTAAGATAATGTAGAAGTGTACCTAAGGGATGTTTATATGTAATAATGACCTGGCTTTTGTTTTATGAATTGAGTGTACCCATTCACCAAGATATAAATATCCATTCTTCATATACTGCTGCAGTTATACATCTGTCCATGAACTCCCTAGTTGTTTTCTTTATTTTTGTAGATACAGAGGTAATCTTTTACTGATTTAGGCATACTGACTTACATTTCCTGGCTAAGGTATATGTTTTGGACCTGAAGTCAACAAGGTAAGGAAATGGGATAAACTTTTAAATGAAGCAATATGATATAATTACTATCATAACCATTAAGTAGATGAAAAGACAACGGTAACAACATGTTCCTAATAGAGGGTGAACAGTCCCAAGGAGTATTAGAAATTTCTGGCTGGATATTAAGAAATGTTTTCTAACTAACTCTATTCACTTAGTAAGGTCTCCAAAGACAAGATGAAGGTTAATTAAAACTGCACTGTGCAAAGCATGAGAAAATAAAACACAGGAAAATGAGAAACAGATTAGATGTATTTGCTGTATCATTCTGCATGTTTATTCTGTTGTATTATAAGATTTAGAAGGAGACAAAATAAGAACATCCTAAGGGCTAAAATTAGCCTAATATTTCTAATAATAACCACGGTGGCATTATGGTATCTGGAGATTTTAAGTATTGATTATTATAATTATTTAAGCAAAGAAACAAAACAGTCTAATCTCACTCCAACACTTGTCCTAAATGCACATATTTTATGATTATTCTGCATATGGAACCATAGATTTTATTATTCCTAAACAGTCAGGA